AAAAAAAAAAAAAAAAAAAAAAAAAAAAAAAAAAAAAAAAAAAAGCGGTCGTACTCAACTCCAGAGGAATAGTAACCAAGCACGGAAGAGGACAGGACAGGAATGAATCTGAACAAAAAACAACGTCATGTCAAAGAGGTGGCACACATTCAACTCCGGAAGAGCAGACACCAAGCACAAAAGATGGTGTCACAGAAGAGGACCGGAAAGGGGTGAGCCTACCGTCTTCCCCCGAACATAACGCACCCTAAAAATGAATGTATACAAGCTATATTTATGGCCAGATACAACCAAAATAATGGTGTGTTGTGTTCGGGGGGAAGACGATAGACAATGAACACCACCAGGTTAAATTTCAACTCCGGAGAAAGGGACAGGGATGAATATGGCTAAGGAACACCGCTAGGTCAAACGGTCGGCAAGCCTCTAAGGGCCTAGTTGCACTACTCTCCATAGGCCAAGTTTCGAGAGTAGGCGCCTGGTTGCACTTACTTGCCAAACCTGGCGAATGCAAAATGTGTCAGACGGCTCGCCACACCCTCGACACAAGTTGTGGAGAGTGAATTCGGTTTCCCCGCCTCTCTGCACGATGGTTTGTGGAGAGTGGTCCTCGGACCTCTCCACAAAACAGCTTTTTAGAGAGTGCAGGGCTTTACGAGTCGACATCAGGTAGACAAAAAAAATTAACTTTTTGTAGAAAAAATATAGTGGCGAGTAAGTGCAACCAGGACTCGAATTCAACGTGATTCTCAATTTTTTTCACTCTTCACGCATCCACCACGAAATGTGACGGATGGCGAGTAGTGCAACTAGGCCCTAATTCCAGAAGAGGGGACACCAAGCACCGAATAGCACCAGACAGGCATGAACGTAGACGAAGAGCAATGTCAGCGTAACAGGCCGGCATCAAAATACAAACCGAACTGCAAAAGTCGACAAACCCAATGTCGTGGCAAACACCCTTACAAAGGTATTTGTCGTCCTTTTCAAAGGTCGCACTGGGTGCGTCCTTGATCAACGAAATGCCCTGATGAGGTAAAACCCGTCAGGGTGCTCACGTCGGCAACCTCGCTCTTGCCGAGACTCCGAGACAAATACGACCAGATTAGAAAATGTGTGGAGCATGCATTACTGCGTTGCACAGTGAGATAGCCGTTAGTCATCGGCAATACTAGGCTGGCGAAATGACGCCAAAGCCGTAGGACCCGGTTACTCTCCCTTCTGTAAATTTTATTGTTTATTATATATATATTTTTTTTCTTTTATTTTATAAAGACTAGATTTACTTCGCAACTAGCGGTTTCTGGCGGGACACGGCGCGAAGAGGATAAAAACTTTACCTTGCCCACAGGCGGGAAGTTTGTGTTGGACAACGTGTCGAAAGGCGCAGCGTTGGGAGACCTAGTTTGGGGGAAAGTTTGGAAGTTCGACAAAGTATGTCATGCGTCCGACGGCCTGGATACCAAGCAAATACGATCTTAGGCGCGGGCGGCGTCTCTGCATCTTCTGACAGCCAGGAGGTTGGCCGGTAGGCCAAGGCGGAGGCCTGGTATATGCGGGTAGGACCAATCACGGTCCCACGACTATTCATACGCAGGTTCACGCCTACCTAACTCAGCCTTCGGCCTGGTTCTAATGTTACGGTATTAGACTTTCAAGCGACAGGTTTGACATTCGAGGCCAGCGAATGATTAAGGAGCGAAGGAGCGCGACCTGTGGGAACTGAGGGGTCGAGGGTTTTGAGGGACTATTCCCCTTGGTTTTGCCAGACGGGCCCGGACCTTGGTCCGACGAACGAGACCAAAAGGGTGCTAATGAGTTCCCGCATTCCTCAGTTCCCTTTTTTTTTTTTTTTTTAACGTTTATTTCCTTTTTATTTTTATAGTGTTAAAGATTTCGTCTTTGACTAAACTGGAAAATCGGCTTCGATACGGACGGTGGAGGAGTACCGTGGAGGAAGGAGCGGATGGAGGGAAGTCATGCATCCACACCTAGACGGGGGCGGACGGCGACTTTGTCGCCGCCGTCATTGACCAGAGCGTAGGGTGTCAACCGACATGGGCCGTTATGACCAGCATTGCAAGAGGGAGCAATTTGAACCCACCCCACGGGTGGCCGTCACGGCAGTCGATGACCTTGAGCACGCGCCTCTTTCGGCAGGGCCGTTCGGGTTCCCTTAGGGTCGAAGTGTTGATGACATTCGTCTATCCTATTCGTCTTGAAGCACGGTTCGAGGGAATTCAATGTGCATGCAAGCGGTGGGTGCTTAGCCCCCGAAGAGGCATAAACCTGAGTGGTGGGACCAACACCTGTGGGCCAAGCTCAGCTGGTACACCCGCAGGCTGTCGAAAAACAAGCCTGTGGGACCAGCACCGAGGGGCCTAGCGCAGTTGGTACACCCACAAACTGTTGAAAAACAGGTATGTGGGATTA